GATAAATTATTAGGGAAATAATCACAAATATACAAAAAATTATTTATTAGACAAAACAGTCCTGAATCTTATTATTTTTACTTATTCCTGCACTATTTAAAGCATCATTCAATTCTCATTTAACACTTACTTCAAATTTCAAAAGCTATAAATAAATTTTATCAAAATTTAATAACAAAACAAGCTATATTTATTACAGCAGTGGAAGATATTTTAAATACGTAAGACTTAATAGGATTATAAAATTAATTTTAAAACACTTTGGTAAATTGACATTTTTAAAAAGTTATTCCTCTACTTTGCAACTATTCCTAAAATGTCTCAATTTCCTAAAATATTAATTAAACCGAATTTCGAAAAATTCCAATAGCTACACCTAAGCAAAAATTTTTTTATTATATTTATAGTAACACCAAACTTCCTTGACTTATGTTGCACTGTTTATGCCTGTTACAGAATGAGAAAAATTAACTAAAAAAGGAACAACACACTTTATAGCTGTTTTCAATTACTTAAAAAGAAACATGAATATAAGTGCATTAATAATATTTCATCTAAAATATCCTGGCAAAGAAAAACAAAATGCAGTTCCTCAGAGCTATTCAAAGAGCCTTCATTTATTTAGGTGGGAAAAAAATAATAATTTTATTGAAAAGATATGCTTTAGATATAAACATCACTTAATTTGTATTGATGTATAAGTGAAATGCCTCACTTTAAGAATCATTATAATCTTATAGCTTTAACATTCTAAAAGTACTTCATATTATAAATATAATTACATTTATTTTGACAGCCAGCTATAAAATACAACAGGAATAAGTATCATCTACACATTACCTACAAAAATATATGTCTATTACTATACACTCAATAGATTTCATATCCTACTGTATCTTCAATGAGTCCCCTAAAATTCTATAGCATCAATACAATACAATACTTAGAATTGTATGTGATGCAAGACTGGAAATGCTATCAATTTCATAACATCTAATAATCTTTAAAAATACTTTTTTAAAACATACAAGGGATGTAATTGGCTATATTTAAGATAGCTACATACGTTAACACTATCAAGAGAAATAAGTATTCATAGAAATTACTTCAGTCAAATTTAAAATATTTTTTAAAGTGATATGTTAACTTATATGATATGAGGTGATATGGATATAAATCAATCATTTGTATTACATATACCAAATCAAATCAAATGAAGTATTATACTTAAACATGATAAACATAAATAAATGAATCTTAAAATATTGAAAAGTTTTAAGAAGCAGAAAAATGCCTAAAAATTATCATCATCAGTCAAATTAAAAATCTTACATGTATGAAAGTTTTATAGATCATTCTTCAGAGATATCATAAAAGTATTTTAATTCAAACTTAAAATGATAATCACATCAATATCATCATACTGCTCGGATTAACATATAAAAAATTCAATTAAAAGGAACACTTATAATGAATTATATATATTATTATACACCGCATTAAAGGCCTATCTATATGTCATATATCTGAATCTATATATCATATATATGAGAATTAAAATCATACAAAATATTAAAACTCTACTAAAAAATTTAATTTTCTTTCAAATAATATATCAAGTGGTGCAACTAAATGTCACTTATAATTATCACAAGTAATGAATTTAATAAACATATTTAATTCAGACTGATTCAATGCAATATAAATTTTATTACATATTTTTTTGAATTGAATACATACAACATTAAGCTTTTGACTTTAGATTTCTTTGGATCTGTCTAAACATTACCATAAAGTATATTTATTCTTTTGAAACAATTCTATATGACAGCATATATCTTTAATGCATAACTGATAAGTTCAGGCTTTGAGCATTTAATATCCTACATCAAAAAGTAGAATGGGTAAGAATGAAATATATATTGGCTAATGTGGAATATAAATCCTCCTTTTTATATGCCATTTGTAAGGAGTTTTCACAGATCTTGCCAACTTTTACCTCTTAATTAAAAATGGATAGCAGTGATTATCTTTAAGATGAATTTAAGTTAATACCTTAAAATCCTCTGTATAATTAAGCAGAGCAATTGTTATCATTGAACAAACAATACAATAAAATAACACACAAATACATTAAGAATTCAAAAAATTACCGGCATCTTATAAAAGAGTAGGGTAACATGAGTACAGTGCATATAGAATGAAATAGATGCCCATGTCATTCCTACAGAAACAATTTCACTGCAGCACTGCAATACAGCAAAATATAAGTTAATGGATATTTTATTATCCATTAACTGGATACATATTTCAAGGCTGAAGTACAAGGAACAGTTCGACATTGTGGACAAAATATGTTAACTGTGCCGAGATTCACAGTGATATTGGAGTACAGGGCAAAAGCAGTGTCACATCCAGCCACAGTTAAATGACGAACAGAGCAGCATAAGCTTAATTGATGCTGATCGGACAGGAAAGCATCACTATCGATCAGAGAAGAAAGTATGCTATAAGCTGATGAAGTGACTTGCAGCAATCACTGACTGACTGTCACAAAAAATGCATAGGAATTGGTATCTAAATGGGCAATTCGCCAAAAATGAACAGATGCAATCAGCACTACTTCAACAGCTCTAAGATGAAGGAACAGATTTCTATTGTCAGGGAATCAGGCATTGACTGAATGTTTAGGCAACATAGATAGGGCCATTATGCTGAAAATAATGTGATATATTTGTATCATACTGTAATGCACAGCATAATTCAATAAAATGTTCTTGACCTACGATAGTTGGAGTAGGACTTTTTGAATCTTCCGGATATATATGTTCAAAAAGCTATTAAAACTTACACATTTAGACATTATTGTCTACTCATTACTACTGTTCGAAAAACACAATATTTTAATTTTAATCTTCATAATTTGTAATCATGAGGATAAACTGAAAAATAGAATAACAATGATGAGAGGAAAAATAATTTTATACTATATATATATATATATATATATATATATATACTGCATAGTTTCATTAACAAAACTGCACTCCTCTCGCTTACTTTACTGCTAAATTTATCCTGTTACAAAGATTTATAACTTTATAAGAAATATTTTTATATTTTATTCTTTATAATGAGAATAAGGGATGGAAATATTTTATGCATCTATGCATACTTTAAATACAGTCAAATACCGAAAATCCGCCAATTCCTGAAATCTGCGTTGCCTCTCAAAATATAAACATTGAGTTTACTGGTTCCGGAAACCGCAACATTGAGTACGAAATATCGAAGAAAAAATACTTACCGAATAATGATGTCCTAATTACCGAATAATAATGAGTCATAACAGAAATACCAATTGATATCATGATAAAAGTTTTTTCCACCTCTAATCTGAATCGAGGTAAAAAAGCAGATGATTCATGCCTCTTCTTCACAATTCACTTTGCTGTATTTTCTAAGCTTTGTTATTTCACGATATTATTTGGTGCTGCCTTCTTTTTTTTATCCGGATATTTTGTGGATAAATTAAGAATATTTTAAATTTCAGCATTTTTTAATACAATTACAGATGAAAAATTGCACTCATGATTTTACTGCTTGCGGCGTTGAAAAACGTAAACACGTTGCATTGATGGTAATGCAAAAAGTGCAAATTCTGCAAAAGATGGAAGCAGGTGCTTTTCCTCGGTTTATAGCAGAATCATATAGAATTGCGACGCAATTGTGTATGATATACAAAAAAATAAAGAAAAGCTGTTGAAATTTTACAGCAACACTGATTCTAACACCGGAATCCAAAACCGGAAATCTTTGCATGAGGCGAAATCGGCAAACCTCGATGCTGTGTACATATAATAATACAATGAATAATATAATCAATTTATATATGTAATAATAATTTAACCCAAATAATAAGTTATTGCAATAATGTATATAATAATTTAATTAAATGTATTTAATATGCCTTATTTATTTTGCCCTTTTAGTCTGAATATTATGATTTATCTTTTCTGTCCTGAAATCCGCACAAACCTCTGGTCCCAAGCTTTGCGGATTTCTGGACTTCTACTGTATTCCAATTTCATATGACACGAGCAATGTTTATAAATTATAATTACATGTATTCCACTTAAATTTAGATACTCACAAATAATTCATTATACATGTAACAATTATATCTGATGGTAAATAATTCATTACAAATATTTAACTATACATACACTATACATTTCAGATGAAAATTATTTTTTATGTTTTTTCTGGAAGGAAATAATGGGCTGGGATAAAATGAAATAATAATAATAAAGCTATATTTCACAATAATATAGCATTTTGCTTTAATTTATAATAATTTATGATCACAATAATATAACGTAATACGCTTATAAGTACAACATTACACAATAATACACATTTCAGCAACAGATAAAAATACCACATTTAACTATAAATTAATTTCAGAAGCATGTTTACTTGAGCCATAAGAAAACATAAGCAATTAAAACAAAACTATGATGTTTAAAACAGAATTTTTCAAAAATGCACTGCTATGTTTATCATTTATCGCTACAAATACTCAACAGTGTATTTAAAAAAAGATTTTAAATTGTATAACATGGAATTATATTTTCCTAATATGACCAAATTTGATTATCCTAGCCTAATTACTGAATTTACAAACCTAACTACTGATAATTTAATTGCATTTTTTTTAAAAATATACTACAACAGTTTAATTCATATTATAAGACATGTTTTGCTTCAGATTTAACTATTTATAAACAGAACTCAAAATTATATTATCTAGTTCATTAATGTAGCCAAATAATACATTTTTTCTTTTGCACTTCCTAAATAATTAAATCTTAGGAAAATATAATCTTGTTAATAACATAATATAATCTTGTTCATAGCATGCAAACAAAATTAATAACCTTCTTTTTATTTTTCAGAAAAAACAAATTATTTCTACTTCTTAAAAATAATATTTCCAGTCTCAAAAGCCACTCATTTATAACTCATTTTTTTTTAATATTCAAGAAATGATGTATATTTAGAAGAATACATTTAATATATTAAAAATATTTAAAACATTATAAAATACTTTTCTTTACTCAAATTCCTAGCTATATTTGCTAGCTTTTCAATACTGATATAAATAACTTACTAGTTTTAAAGCATTATTTTTAATAAAAAAAAATTAAAAGATAAAGTAAGTTTTATGTCTTCAGCAATTTTAAAATTGAGCTGTCATTGCAGATAAACCACATAAATTTAATTCATAATTCTTAAAATCTCCATTTAATCAAATTGACAAAATCTAAAAATAACAATCATTCCCTTTTCTCCTAGTATCAGCCTGGAATTCTTGTGAAATAAAAGAAAAATGGCAGTGGGTCGAATATGCATGTTGCAGATCATATACAGGATGTTCAATTTAAAAGTGGCCTTTAGAAGAAGCAATAAGAGTACATATTTATGAAACACACCTTGCTTACAGCACATGCTGGAAATGACATCCCTCCACTTCAGTGCATTTATCTACATGTTCCTCGTAAACCTAAGTAGCTTTTCCTTGTTATTTCTTTGGATGGCAGCAGTGATATTAATTTTCAGCTTTTCCAAGGTATTTATGCTATCTGTCCTCTATAAAAAGTAAAGTGTACACTGATAAGATCTGGAGACAATGCCCCCTTTAAATATGATTTCTGTCACCAAAAAAATCATCCAATATTGTCATAATGTAATTAGTTGTATGACATATCACATTTATCTTAAGTTTATTATATGCAGCACATCTCAGAGTGATATTCATCCTCCTGCATTAATGCACTGATCTGCCAGATAATATCTAGACAAGTTTCAGCATCCACAGTTACTCACAACATCTTTTTAAAATACAAAAAAAGACTTAAAAATTAATGTGATTTGCAGTGCTTGACAGTTGGTAATTTTACATGTCCACTTGAAATCATGGTTACACACATGTCCACTTGAAATCATATCTAATGTGTGAAAAATACCTGACATAAAATAAAAATGTCACCATGAATGGAAATCTTGGACTGCACATGTTTACCAAAGTACAACAGTAAAATTTCAGTCAAAACAAAATACACAAGACAACAGTGTTCAAAATTTGCTTCTTCAATCAAATCATATCTGTTTTTGCTTCTAAAAAATTACCCCTACCTACCAAACTGGCTTACCTGTTTCTTACACATAATGTAACAGTACAAGAAATGGAGAGCCACTGCAAAGAAAGAAAATACTATATGCACAAAATTATGTACCTTAAAATGTGCAAGCCACTTTTAAATTGAAAACCCTATATACAGAAATGTATATTACCCACTTAACATTGACTCTGTCTACTAATCTGATATTGCTGGAGTCCTAAACACATGATTAATTTATTTTAAAAAAATAAAAAATATTTTTAGGAAGAATATGGTAACTTTAGTTAATAACAGTCTACATTCATTTTCAAAACTGAGTAAAACTCTAAACTAAAAAATACAATGTTAAACTTCCACAAACACAGATAAACTATGTAAGAATTTCAGTTTATTTTAAAAGATGCAAACATGGGCAAGAACAGAAAATGTTCTAGAAAAGTTACTGATTCTATGAATTAAGTTTTTGAGAGACATATATACTTTATTTCTACTAAACATTTCTTTAAGTTCGTAAATTTTGAGCCAAGTAAATTGAACTTGCTGATCAGTTATCTTTAATTCCAAATACGACTTTTTATATACAGTTATTATAGCCACTGAAATTTCTGCTAATGGCTTGACCAGATCATCAGTAACAACATATCACATTTTTAATTCTAAAAGTTCTTTTAATAATATACAATGATGAAATCAATTAAAATCTTAATTTATGCCGAAGATACTTTTAAGTCATGGAAGATTCAAAATTTTGCTTGCATTTTTACAATTTTAAAATAAAAAATCTATTAATTATCATACCAAATTAAGTACACACCATGCTGGATAAAAAGTGGCAATTACAAAATATACATCTGAATGTTATACAATAAAATTCATTACACAAAATTATTCAAATCAAACAACAAGTCAGAAAATTTATATTCAGATTAAAGACTGCAAATCTCGCATTTTTTTGTATGCAAGTTAAGCTCTGTGTTTTGAGGCAACATTTTAGAACAGAAAGTTCCATTGTGCATATTTGACTTAATCTTGATACTCTAGATAACACTACTGGTGAAAACCTTATACATAAACTTTTACATATATTTAATCAACATGTATACATACATTTAATTCATACGACAAATACACATTTGAAATCAATCAATTTAAAGTCAAACATTTCAGTTACAGTGCATTACTTATATGGTAAGAAATCACGAGATTTAGACATATTTAAAATTGTCAAAAATAAATAGAGTATACTATGTACATTCATTTGAAATTTTACATAAAAACACCACTGAAGGTTTTACAAAATAAGATGAAACTGTCTACAAAAATCTCAGTATAATTTACTTTTGTTTGGTTATTTTTTCCAACATTCTAACTGCATAATATTACTTTATGAAATGAAATATTACCAAAATGTTTTATGTAGTGTTTCATTACAGTCATGGTCATGATTTATTAGAAATTTACATAAATTATATTCTCACATAAAGCTTAACAACATGCAAAATATCATATATTTTCTGAATTATTAATGTTCTTCATTCATAATTTCCTATCACACTTGTTAAGTACTTTGCACGAGCCTGATAGCACTTCATGTGCCTTTTAATTAGACAATAAAACAGCTACACAATATTTCAGGCTTTAATTATTCATGGAAAAGACTGTCTTTAATTTTAATTGAAGCCTCAATTTGCCTTTAAATGAATGCTAAATGAATAAATGACTATTCTTTAAATCTCACATATATAAAATTATAAACATTAGCAAAGCTCTTACCATATCTGATGCTTGTTCACTTATAAATGACCATAATTCAAACAGAAATCACAAAAATCCTGCATTAGATTACTGTCAAAAGTAAAAACTACCATTCATTTCATATGAATAAGTCTCACAAACATGTTAATGAGAATAAAATAACTCTCTTTTAAATTTAAAATATTGTCCTAGATGTTGAGATGAAACTACCTCACTTTTAATAGATGTAGAGGAGAACTAAAAGTGCTTCTTTTCCTCACTAAATTTGCTGCCACTGGAAAAAAAAAAAAAAATAATAATAAAAAGGGGATAAATTATATTATAAGAACAAGTTTTAAAATATTTTGTATTCATGTATATAACAAAATTATTACAGTTCAAGAGATCTCCGTATCCAAAATTTATATATAGAAAAAATTAAAGTAAATATTTACTTTACTTGAAGCAATTAAATCACAAAACAGTACTCTAAGTAAAATTAACATTTGATTTCCCTTAAACTAATTTTTAATAAAAAATCATACTTTAAAAAAGGGAGGGGGTAGAATATACACAGTCGAATTACACTGTAATGACTGCTTGTTATCCAGAATAAATACTTTTGGTAACATGTATAATAGTCAATCATGTGAGACTGTCTTAGGTACTAGATGTCAGCTATACATATCTGATTCATCTGACACTTGTTCACAGGTGCACTGGATTCAGATACTGAATGTGTTAACCAAGACAGTCACACTTGTGTTTTCACAGTCTGAATAATTTAAATTAACACTTTTTTTTGGCATGTGCGATGGTGATGATGATGATGAATTTATTATCAACAGGAACTTGGAGGACAAGAAATAGCTGAAAGTTTTTGTTGCGCTTTGGGAATTAGTTATGAATAAGTCTATGATAAGATGCCTTGCTCTGTTGAAAGATCGCATAGGCTACAAGTAAGATTATCACCATATATGGCTGTACTTTATGGGAAAGGATGGAGAGAAACATACATCTATTGAAAGTACTTTCCAGAGATATGATTCTAAGAAAACATAATTCAGGTCATAATGCTGCCAGCACCACTTTCTGTACTCCCAACAATGGTTTTTGAGTGTTTTTCTCTGAGTGAGTTTACATGAAAATCTTTTGAGTGAGTTTACAAGATACAATAATATCCATCTGTTCATTTAAGCTCAGAATATGACTTTTAGAAGAGCACGATGTTCTGAAATTTGTGTCAATACTTCTGTGCAAAGAGTCATGGTTTTTTAGCAATGAACCTTCATGAGCATAGCATTTGCTTGTGAGCTCCATTCAGTACAAGTTTCATTGTACCATCATTTCGAATACATATCTGCAAGGCCCTCATGGTTCACTTAGATAGTGAGTTGCTCTATGCTGTCTACATGTCCACAATAACCAGCGAAATTAATATTTACTTCAAAAATTAACGCTCTATTAATGCTCTATAGTTATCATGCCCAATCATCAAAAAGACTTGGTTTATCCATACAGAGTTTAGTTTAACAATAGCAACATTTGTGAACAATTCACCAATTCTATTGTTTTTAAACTGCCGTGTTTCTTAGCTTTGTCACTGATCATCATATTTTTTTAGTGTCTGATAAACCATATGCCCCCCCTCTGACAATTCAGACTGCTATACTGGAAATGTGAAAATCCCACCCCCCAATCACTGAAATCTGCATGTGACATTCACTGGTTGTGTATCTCTGGCATCAATGGTTGATTATAATGTAACTCAACCCAGTATGCAGTTAAGGACCAATTAAAACTTGGATTCACCAACACAAACAAAACACAACAAAAACTCATTCCATACCCAATAAATTTAATTTTACAATTGATATCATTACAAATATGAATTAACAGAATTATAACAAAAACACCAACAATTTTCCCATGACTTGCCCTTTAATTTACCAAATTTCTCATGAAGATATGTATTAGTGCAGACAAAGTACAGAACAAAGTCTGTAATCCGGACTCGTCGGGACTTCGGCAATTCCTGATTATAGATATGGCATGCAGAAATTATACAATTAAAAATATGAAACCGTAATTTATGAAATAAAGAACTATTATGATCTAAAGAGTATCAAAATTTACAAAAAAAAAAAAAAAAAAAAAAGCTTAATATTTATTTGTTTACTTTATTATACATTTTTTTCAATGTAAGTTGTTTAAGTTGCTTCATTTTTTGTGCTATTACTTTCTCTTTAATTCTATAAACAGACATAATTTCTTATTCAGTTACAAAGTTCCACTGTTCAAGTCCTGCAACTGCTGTATCGAGAATACAGACTAACTTGTCAACTGAAATTTTTTCATTTTCAATAACCTCTCTGTCACTTTCTTCAATATCGGAAGTGGTATTTTCTGGATCTAGAACCATACTACAGATTTTGCTGTCCGTTAATTGATTGATAACTGGGGCATTGTCGTGGCAATGAAAAACTTCTGTTATATCATCTTCATTTATTACCGCTTCTCCACATTTCTTTACAAAATCCAATAACTAGAAAATTTCACCTTTAGTTTGCGATGTCCGAAAACCTTCAAATTCGCGGCTATCATCTTCATTGTCCTCACCATGAAATATGGTAGCTGGCCATAAATTATGCCAAGCATTTTTTAATGTATCTGGAGACACATTCTCCCAACACACATGTGTACAGCATACAAAAAAAAAAAGTTTGTGGCTTTGAGGTCCAGATTATAGATCATTCCGGATAATGGACGTCCGGATTACAGACTTTGTACTGTAATTAATTAAGTCATGAATTGCATCTCTTTTAATGCACATAAAAATGTTATATTTAATATATAGTATTTATTACTTTGTTTTTATATTTTACATTTTTACAGTATCATATGTTTTCATAAAATATGCTTTTTATCATTTATTTTCATAATGGTGTTCAGAAAAGTGATTTTTAAATCACTAAAAAATAGCTAAATATGTGAATATTATATAAAATAAGGAAATAAAAACAAAGAAGAGACAAATCTACCAAACAAAAATGATTTCATCATTTCAGAAGATTAAAGGCAAATTGAATACTTATAAAAAGAGAAATAAGAAAAGGAATCATAAATAAATAATAAAAGCATAGTATGAATACTGCAAGCATTTATATAAGACAATTATTGGCCTATAACAAGTGAATGCAATTTTATGACAATAACTTTCACTTTAATCCTTCATAATATAACATAGTCAATTAACATCGGCCTTTTTTAAGCAAAGCAACAAAGGTTTAATTTACATTGAAAAATAGCATGTTTATGCAAAAATTTAAAAGTTTTCTTGCATTTATAATATGCATGAAAAATTCAAATCAAGAAGCTGGTATGTTTTGACACTAGAATAAATTACTGATGTTCTGAAATTATCAACATTTGGTATTGCATTACAATTTACCCATTACTTCTTTTTTTTATCAAAAGTAACTAACTACTTTTAATCAAACATACTGCCATGAAAAACTTAAGTTGATATCTATTCTTCAAAGCAACTACAAGAAAACAAAACAAAAAATACAAGTTTTAAGTATTCATTGATGATTTTCAGCAACAAAGAAATGTTTAAATTTCAACACACACACACAAAAGAAAAGCAATTGCAAAAAAGAAATCCTTAACAGGAAAAGAAATTATGCTCGAAAATATAGGAACAGAAATATAATGAAGGATAAATAATGAGGAATTATAAAGGAATTGCTAACAGTGTAAGCTTCACAAGAATGCACTTTCGGTCCCCTCTTCCTTACAGTACATGATAACTAAAGCTCTTCAGCATCATAATTTAATTATACAGTCAGAAACACTGATCATTTTCAGAGATGGGTGTCATGGAAAAAGGGCTCTCATAAAAGGTTTCAGTGCCCATTGTGATGCTTCTTTGGCGAAATGAAGCAACTCCAATGATGGAACACAGCAATAACTTTTATTTAACACTCAAAAATGGCGACATACAAACAAGAAGAGAAAACATATTCTATCAACTTATTTAAAAAAAAAAATAATTACATGCTTCGTGCGAGAAAATGCATGCAGCTCTCGAGCCTGCCTTTCAATATTGCCAGTAATCTGTACATTATTTATTATTCATCTATTTCAAATGCACGAGAGATTAATAACGATATGAAAGCTGTTACAATCTCTCCCCCAACGGAGACACTTTTTCCGAAGGGAAAAGTTCTGTAAAATTTGACAGTTTAATAAGGTCAGCTTGCTCATTTGCTTGAAGAGAAAAGGTAACTTCTCTCATAAGTTTCCAAATTTCAGGCCGAAAATTTTAAGTTTTAAACAAATATTTTTACACCACATTTAAATAGGAAGAAAATGGACAGTGTTCAAATTAGTCTTCTTTTTTTTTTCTTGACGGTGCCTAGATCTCTTCCATGGTGAACCAGTTCCTCGGCTATAATTCACAGCAAAGCCTTTCCACAGTTCATCTGTGCCTTTCGGATAATATTCATTTGTCATTTGCTTTCGACAGTTGTTTTTTTTTTCGTCTATTAGTAGCGTCTTTGATATTAAATCAAAAGCCGAAAGATGATGATAACGCTGCATTGCAAAATGATTCTCAATATTAATTTCTTTATCGTTTTTCAAATTTTCGTGAACATCTTCCTCGTTTAATTCTGGTGATTTAACTTCTTCAAATACATCTCTGGATGCTTTATTTTCTTCCTTCATCGGTTCCAAGATCTGCTCTTCAGCTATTTTTCTTTTCCTTTGAGCTCTAGTAGAAATGGCATTAAAATGGTATCACTAAGTTTACTTTCAAGTGATAAACTAATAAAATAAGGCAGTTCAGTGTTAACAGGAAGTAATAACCTGATATCACTAATATTACGTTCCGTGATGAACTAATAAAGTAAGGCAATTCAATATCAACAGGAAGTAATAACCTGGTATCACTAATATTATGTTCAGTGATGAACTAATAAAATAAGACAATTCAATATCAACAGGAAGTTACGTTCAGTGATGAACTAATAAAATAAGGCAATTTAATATAAACAGGAAGTAATAATCTGGTATCACTAATATTACGTTCAGTGATGAACTAATAAAATAGAGCAATTCAATATTGACAGGAAGTAATAATCTGGTATCACTAGTTCAGTGATGAACTAATAAAATAAAAATACGCACGATTATTCGATCTTGGTCGGTGCCTCCAAAATAATCATGACTGTAAAACTTCTTTGGCGAAATGAAGCAACTCCAATGATGGAACACAGCAAGAACTTTAAT